AGCCAGCCTGCTGGCTGGGGAATTCTGGGAGTTGGAAGTCCACATATCTTAAAGCTGCCAAGGCTGAGAAACACTGGGCCGGTATGATGATTCCTGTTCTAAAGAGGGTCCACGCTTGTTAAGACAGCTCTTAAACTGATTGGCTAAGTACAAGCTCTTGACCTGAAAAAGATTCTCCACCCTTGTGCTAAGCATAAACCATAGTTATAACCACGGTAGCTAGGTTCCCATATCCTAAGCCAAAATGAAACCACCCTGTGGCTTAGCATGTTTGAAGAACCTTGTTGTCCTGGTATAAGATATGAAGCCATCATTCTAAGGTTCTGACTGACTCACGAAAAGGCAGATTGCCACAACCAAGTCAGGACCTCTATTTTCTCTATCTGAAATAAGCTAAGAATTAGAAGCCAATCACTTAGGATTTTTGGGTTGCTCCTCCTAGGAAGAAACTAAGCCAGAGGTCCTCTAATATGCCACAATGAACAACCCAGAGCTTGTAAATTGTTGATCTCATACACTGAACTGCTAGACGCTGCCTTTTAAGCAAACAGAAAGAGCAATGCAACCTATACAGTTCTGGTAATCTCATTTCCTTTGCCTGCCCTGAGCACAAGGAAGGGATCCTATCTTCATCCCACAGCTCACACACTCACATTCTTCATGACGTGCTCCCGCATACGCAGTCTTTCTTCTTCCATTTCTAACATGTCATCCTCCTCATTCCGGGGATCGTATACTTTCTCCAGCTGCAAAAAGAAGACTCCTTAAACTAGTGCCCTCCTAGTATGTTGGAACAGCAATTCCCTAAATTCCCCCCACCCCAGGACAAAAAGTCCAGGAATTGATGCTGTCGCTTTTTGTATACAAAACATGCATTCTATCACCCAGCTTTAGGCCTGGAGGACTCGGCTTGCAAGACTGCTCAAATGCATTTTAATATCCCCCTCCCTGCCCCCGCTTTAAATCTTACATCACTCTAGCCTAGTGTTTCTCAACCTTGGCAAGTTTAAGATGGGTGGACTTCAACTCCC